AGCCAGTGTCTCTGACAGACTCCGTCTGGATTGGAGCAGCTTTGTGGTGTGAATGTCTTGGAATGTTGAGGGGGAGGAGTTACGACTGCGTGACGCTTCCTCCAGTTTTAGTACTATAATGGGGGGATGATAAGCAGGCGTCAGCATGAAGACTACATAAAGAACATGGTTCCTGCCCAGCACAACACAACTCCACGTTTCAGTGTCGGCATTGTTTCAACAGGAGCAACATTGTAACATGTTTGTTACCGCGTCATCTCTCCCTCAGGTGGCTGCGCTGCACATCGCTTCCTCTGAGCGGCAGATACGGATGTGTAACTCCCATCTGAAGGCTGGGTGGCCATATTCCGCCTCATTCCTGTGCATTTCCTATATGCTGTGTTAATCACGTGACCGTATTGTTTTTGTCAGCTACTGTATCGCTACTGTGGTATATGGTGGGTCCAAAAAAAACACAGAGAAGAGACGAAAACACTACATCATTCCGTGATGTTTTGTCACGTTGGAAAGTTTGTCCCGAGCACTGGTCTGTGGATCGATGCCGAGATGAATATTTCATGTTACTGGTGTACAGTGGGAAAGCGAGACACGCATAAGTAACAAGCTGGGCATCGACGTCACGTTTTGTCGTTAGCGAGCCTGCTTACCTGTCCAGGGTATCACCGGCTGCCGCGCCGCACGTCGGCGAGCCCCACGGCTTTCTGTTCGCCCCTGCACCGTCCCCAGCGCCGGCTCCTCCGGCCTGTTTCTCCATCTGTCACACAACTGCTTCGTTTCTGGGTCACCGGGGGCGCAGATGGATGGTTTCCTCTGATGCAGACAAGGGATGCGGATGAAACTAAAGCTCGGTGTAGTTCCAGTGTCCGCTCCCAGCGGCTGTAATGGATCTTTAAGGATCCGAGCTGTGGAAAGAAACTAATCAGAGGCTCGACAGCGGATCTCACATGCAGTGGTTTCCTCTGCTTTGGTTGTTTGCACTTCCTCTTAGTCGCATCTATACCCGCAGCATTGTTGTTCGCAAACAGTGACGTCGCCACGGCAGTGCTAAGGATGCTGTTGCTGGTCCTGACCGACAGGCGGCGCCATTTAGACAAAACTGCCACATCAGCGCAAGAAGAAGAAGAAGTCAACACGGAAAGAAGAAGAATGCCACGAGAGGATGTGGTTATCAAACATGTTCATCAAATAATAACACAATACAAAAAAACAACAACAACAACAACACACGAATAAATAAATAACCTCATATTCTATCTTAAATGAACCTGTCTGAATTTACCACATATAGGACTGCTGGTAGAAACGGGGGTAACTGCTTAAAGGATGTTTCATGTCACCTTTAAATGCAGAAAAGTTGGAGCAACCGCAAAAAATCTACACCCTTAAATAAAATATTAGAACAAGATTCTGTCACAGGTATTCTTCAAGACCAATAATAAACATAGGATGCACTGATATAGCATGTGTACAGCATATATATAAATATCTTCTTGAGTTTATTTATTTTTTACAAAAACTCTAAGCTTTACTAACATCAACCTAAAAAATTCATCACCCTGATAATTATCAGTAATTGTCTTAAATGAACTACTTTCTTTATGGGTAATAAATTAAATGACAATTAATTGGTTTTCACTTTTTCTCCACACTTGAAAAATCTAT